ATGTTTGGATGCCTAGCACTGGGCATTAAACCTGGTCATTATGAGCATTCCCCTGCATCCATTGCCTAGGAAGCCAGAGACTGCCTCCCCTGCTTTGTTAACTGCCTGCTACAGAGCAGCTGAGCTGCTCCTCCTGAATTCAGCTACCACTTAAGTGGTGCTCACAGTCAGTTTTAGTCTTCAGCTGAAAGAATGTGAATATGGCCCTTAGTTGCCCTGATTGTCAAATCATTTGCACTGCACCTCACTCAGGGATTATTGGAGGGATCTCTCAAGCACTGATGTCAATACAGGGGCAAGGAGGGCTTTCTTACTTACCAGGAGCACAAAGAAAACAAAGAACACATAGGTGACAAAGTAAATAGGCCCAAGGACCCTGTTGGCATTGTCAATGGAATTGTAGTCAAAGTCACCAAGAATGATGCGAAACTGGGTGAAGCTGGAGGAGAGGAAGAGCACAAGATTACACAAAGGCCACATACATTTATGCTATCTCCTCAGGCAGTCCTGAGGTGAACCCTTCACATGCCTGCAGTCCAGATGGTCACAGGCACAAGCCAGAGCAGAGTCTAAGTCACTCAGTCTGACTGGGGAGTTACACGAGGAGACATTGGCAAGTAGTTAAAATTCTTTTGGGAAATTCTGGAAACATGGTTCTGACTTCTACACTTACATGCATTTAACAAAGGTGCTGAAGTTTTCCACTTGTGTCCCAAAAAGCAGGTAACCCAGCTGAGCATAGGCAAAGAAGACAATGAAGAACATAATGGCAAATCCCAGGATGTCCTTGGCACAACGTGCCAGTGTGGAGGAGAGCTGAGTCATTGTTTTGTTAAAGCTAATATATTTAAATATCTGCAAGAAAAAGAACAGGGACAAAGTTGGGTCAAACCATCACCTAGGTTAGTCTCTCTCATATATGCACGTGCTTACTAAGGCAAGAGATTCACTACAGCACCAAAGCACCAGGAGGACAGCTGGGCTAGGGGAACAGTGTCTTAATGTTCCAGATATTTGTGCCAGGTGTGCCACCATCTTCCTGTGGGATTATAAACATATAATCCCTTTGTTCTCTGTATCAAAGGAAAATAGAGGAAGACAGCAATAAGGACAAATGTCTTGAGGCTGATGAGGAACTCCAGGTACAGTGTGACTCTCCACCATGCCAAGATTCTTCATATGAAATGTCAACAGATGAGACATTTCCAGTTGTTCTATGGCCATTAGAAGGGAAACAGTTTGCCAGTTTATCCTCCAGAATACTAAAATAGCACAGGAGTTGTATTGTACAAAGTTATATTGTACTCAGCATTTTCTAAAACCACTCTTACACTGCAACACCTGAGCTCATCTCCGTGTCCATTATCTCCAAGTAACTGGCCTCAGAATAGAGCGTGAAAGGTTTTCTGGATTTACTGCAGAATAGAGCATATGACTGAGGAAAATCCTTCTCTGTTATACAGCTGTTACCCTCATTCACTCAGAAGGATGGAAAAGTCAACCCCCAAGCTATCTAGAAGAAGTCTGAGACTGCAGGCCTGACACCTCCCAGATCTACAACAGGCACCTCCCTACAGTACCTTGATCCAGGCAAAGAATAAGTTCACTGCATTCATATTGTTGTACTGTGTCTGCCAGAATGCCAGGAACTCGAAGTCTGCGTAGGTGTCAGGGTGTTTCAGCAACTCTCCCAACAGTCTGTTCACCTCAATGGTGCGAAAGATGTGAAACCCAATAGCAACGATGGAGAGCTGCAAAGAGGAAGAGTCTGCAGTGACCTCTGTGCCCATCATTTCTGTGGAAACTAAAGTGCCACAGAATTCCTTGGTATCACACTCCACAACTGCAGTCTGCTGGTGGGGGATGGAAAGAAGCTCTTCATGCACTGAATGAGGCCCTGACTTCACAGACTCTCAAGCATCTCTTAAGGAAATAGTTTTCTCCTAACAGCTGTTAGAAGCACATGTGTCTATTTACTCTACTAGTTCATTTTGCTGTTGGAACAAAACATGTGCCAACTTTTGTCTTATCTAGACCAGTTCCCTTATTCCTTCTTCTGTTTTGGCTCTCATTGCTTTCTGCCATTGCTCCCCCCAAAGCAGCGTGCAAGGATCCTCACCAGAATGACAGCCACATCCAGGATGTTCCAGATGCTGGTGAAATACTGAAACTTGTGTATACGCAGCTCCAAAATCTCCTCCACCACGTAGTAGAAGATGAAGACACAGAAGACAGTTTCACAGGCGACAATGAAGAAGTCCCAGGCACTGGCATAACGTATAAGCTTGACTGTCCTGATTTGCCATGAGGGAATGGCACCACCCGTGGCTGGAAACTCAACCACTAACCTTGAAGGGAATAAGGAAACTCTGGCAATTACAAGCAGGAAAAAGGAGACTCTTAGATAATGTTGAGAGGCATCACACCTGAGTGTGAGCTAGCCACCAAACCATGAGCAGAAGACTTGTGCATGTGTTTACCCAGCCTTATCTCTGCTGCTTCACTGCCCGTGGTAAGGAAGGGTGAACAGTGAAGAGAAGTTTGACTGGTTGTGTCAGGAAGACCAAGTCTTCTTACTAATCTATGCAACACCTACTGACACCAGTCACTCCTACCCTCTGGTGGACCATGTTAAAATACTTGCATTTTAAGAAACTGTGGCATTGAGAAAGAAGCAAGAGACAAAAGAATAGCCAGTGTGACTTGGCTTACCTCAGAACACAGAACAGATTGATATTTGCATTATACACAGTGAAATCAATGAAGACAACTCTAGTCCCCCGATCCAGCCACAAATTCTCCTTCAAGGCTTGCAGTACTTCAGCACTTTCTTCTCTGGTCAATTTGAGGTCTATGTAGTATCCTCCCCCACTGTAACTGGTTAGTCTTCCCCAGTGAGAGGACCCACTCAGCTCCTCCTCAGAATGGTACCTCCACCTGCAACAGACAAGCCCTAAGCAGCTGGTAGCCAGGAGAAATTAGACTATATCTTCAAGAAACAGATCAGTTTTTAATAAAAGAGTTGGCACTTAATTCCTATTCCAGATCTGAACCTACACAGCTCTTCATTGCTGATAGATTTCTGATCTAGTGCTTCCCAGCAGAAACACAACATGACTTGCAATACTACAGAGGTCAAATTCTGCAGCTTTGTTGACTGTTTCCAGTCTTATTTGCACGGAGTTTCCTCCCAGGATCTGCTGCATTGCCTTCTACCATGCTTCACACAAACTTCTGCTCAGAACACGCTTGCTCTCGTATTTCTTTATGAACAATACCTTCTCATTAACAGATCAAGATTCATGCAGCAAGCAAAGAGTTATGAAATTGCATCTACCTCACATTATCACAGAGAAATAGGTTTTCAAGGTGAAAGAGATGCTCTCCTTTATCTCTGGCTCCTGAAACCCAGGAGGAAAGCAGATAGCACCTTTGATCTTTATAGATCTGTTTCCAAAGGCCAGGTATCTCCTCATCCTCTTAAAACCAGACAACAATCTCTACCTGTTTCTCCACTGGATTTTCCATATCTTTCCCAACAGGTCCCACTCTGCCACACAACAACTCTCTTGTACTTTTCCTCAAAGAGACACGTGGCTTTATTGACAGACAAAAAGGACTTCATGCCACTGGCTACAAGGGGAATCCTAGCCTTATTTGAAAAACTCAACCCTGGTATCCTGTGGCTCAGCAGCTCTTATTTAATGAGAAGAAACTAATTTGGGGCAACTATAGAGAAGAAAAATAATCATAAAAAACACAGATTTTCTAATCCTGAATGGCAGAAAATGTACTTACGGAGTTCCATTGATGAGTCCAAATGAGACCCTTTCCTCCTTGTCTTCTGAGTATACATCATAGCAGCCTGAGATTTCCTCTTTAAAGTCCTCATGGACCACACAGGAATTGTTCTTCACCTTCAGTTGTCGCATGCGTGGCACACCCAGGAGCAGGTTCTCGTAACAGATGTATGACTGAGTGCCATGAGCTGCCAAGGACTCGTTGTTGTACCACTTTGTCCAGTAAAGATTATCCAGAAGGGGACCTTGTGCATACTGCAAGAGAAGGAGAGGAGAACAACTTCTTCATAGTCCACATATCAGAGGAATTTTCTTGGCTAAGACAGAGCTAACTAACAAACCATTTCCAGCTGAGTGTCAGAGATAAGTGGTTGAAGGATCTCAACAACTTTCACTATGCCTCATACCATTCCTTCACCAGTTCTTTCACAGAGATGTGTTATACTCTAGACAGCTTTTCTTCTCTTTTTTCTCTTTTATCAAAGCCAGTGCAACTTTTAATCCAGCATCTTCATAAACAATCTATGCATCAGACCAGCCCAGGCATGAATTACAGGCAGGTTAAGCTGTTCCTGTAATTGCACATGAAAGTGGACATGGGCTTATTGCTACCTAGACACCAGCATGAAGACATTAGACTGTAGGATTCAAAGCCATTTCTATCACAGAGAAACCTGGAGTAAGTCACTCAGCTTCTCTGGGCCAGCACTCCCCACCTGTGCAATGAGCATCATATTACAGCAATTTTTTTT